CATGCACCCACACATCGTCCAGATGAAAGGGCCTTGTGTCAAAGATTTATTGTTGATCTTTGTATCATTCATTGATCATTATATAGCTTATTCCACACCACATCATTAAGTACTCGGTACAAAAAGGTTATGTGACAGAAGTTGAATACAGAAAAATAATGCTGCACTTTACAGATGCAACACCAAGGTTGCTGGTAAATCTAATCCAAGTTGCAGCTAAAGGATTCCTGGTAAACACACTGTTTCATGAGCTAATTGTTGAAAACTAACTTTGACCCTGATTTGACCCTGATTCTCTTTGATTTCTGGAAAGGTATTTCAATTTTATGTAAAGATTTTGCTGATACTTGATGGACAGATACTGTAGCTATAACGTGGTAACCAGCTACTATTACTTGCATCTTGATTTTGGAATAGAACCGGGGGAGGCCACGTCAGTAGTCATCACCAAAAATCAACCTGAGATATACTTTAATGTGAAGTTAAATAATAAAAATTTCACCATGCTTGTGAACAGCACTGAATGAAAATGAAAAGATATAACATACAAGACATATGTTTTCTGTACAGCCTCTGACACACACACACACACACACACACACACACACACACACACACACACACACACACAGACAGAGGTATTGCAAGATGAGAGGGGAGGATGCCATGTCAGGTCTCGGACAACAGACAAGCTTCACCTTGTGCTACATCACCCACAGGGAACTAGGGGTAGAGACAGAGGGCAGTGTGTTTTCATCTAAGGTCACCTACAAAGCTGCAGCCTCCCATTGGTAGCTCATCATAAGTGACAGCTAAGACAGGGTTGGGGCCCTGGAGACACAACAGGGTCTTACCCATACAGGATACAGTGAAATTCAAAGCATGGCATTTTGACAGGTAGAATTTACTGGGCTGGAGAAATAAACATGAAAAAGAAAATAAGTTTGTGGTTACATAAATGGCCATGGCTACTGCACAGTGGCTATCACTCCTGCTCCTTCTCATTCACTGCTTTCAATGTCTATCGTCCTGCTGATGAAATTCAATACAGTATCATCAGAGGCAGGTGTAAACAAACGGCATTAAATGGAAAATCTCATCATCTTCTGTCCAAGCTGTACTTTGATACAACAACTGTGAAAAACATCTACCTACTTGATGTCTTCTTCATTCATCCTTTTCCAATGTATATTTTTGTTATCCCGCCATAATAATAAACCATGTCAAAGTGTTGGCTGTTTCGCCTGGCAACAAACTGTGAAATTGGTTAACTGTTCAGGCTCAAGAGAGACTGATGACAATGCCACCAAGTTATTGTGGTTGTATTGAAAAAGCTCCCAAATGGCCCTTGTCTGTTTAACATCAGACAAGTGAGTAAGTGATACGTCCTTACTCTTTATCAGGCAGCCTTGCACTGTCTTCTAAGGATGAAGGAAATCCTCCTTTGGAGGTCTGTGTACTGTGATGGCTCATGGCTCAGCTAGATAACAACCAGCCTCTGAGCACCGAGTGGAGACAGACAGAGAATAAACGCAATTTAACCCAAAGATGCCTACACAACCTGTACATGGATATTCCTACTTTGTGTACAGTAAACGGCACACTAACGCACCTTCAACATTAACTCCAAGATAACATGTTTGAATGCAGTAAGGGGGTAAGTAAGGGCGGACAAAGAACAGGTTCAGGGAATCTGCAAAGTGTGGGAAATGTGTCACAAATGTTGTCGGGGGTTCTCGCTCAGTAAAAGCTACACAAGCGTGACATATAGTACAATACCGTCCGTCATAGGTTGTAGAATGATACATTGGTTTTGCCATTATGTCACGTCAATTTCGGCACTGTTTCTATGGCTCACATTCAATGTCCACCCTCTGCTCTAGACACTGCACCCTCCCGACAGCACCTGCATGCTCAGCTAAAATGAATGAGTGCAAGAGGGCGCTGGAGGCTCAAAATGTTTTATGAGGAATGTGACTGCTGGTGACATATGGAGCAAATGCTTTCTTTGGCCAGTAAAGAGAGGCTTATATTTCATATGTGGTTTAATTAAATGGAGTGCTTTCAGTTTAATACCATTTATAAGCGAAATATTTAGTCAAATCTGATGAAAACATATTTGGAAATATTAGTATATTTCGTGTCATGGCACAACGACTACACACAGTGCTTGCAGGTGAGCCGTCCACATTTAAAGTTGTTCTAGTGCTATCTAACTATCAAGCACTGAAACACTGAGCCTCTGCAGATGTTTTGCATACACAAGTCAAATTTTAGGTCTATAATAATAGTCAGTGGTATTGCAGTTGGTTCATTATGAAGTGTTTACTTCCAGATGTCTTTCCTCAAATTGAGGGTCAAATTCTCAAATGACTGAAATTTGATGCTAATCTTAATGACACAAAGGAAGTCATGTTCCTCCTTTCCAACAAGGGTATAAAATACTTGCTTCCAGAATGAAGTGTATTTCACTGTGATAGGAGCTTGGACAGGTTGGTTGGCAAAGGTGCATTATGGGAAGAAACTCTGGCTACAAATGTTAGGTGAGATAGTGAATCTTCTGCATTCTGTTCATTTTCAACACTGCATTATGGACAGATCACAACAAAAAAAAAGGATAGGCTTTTTTATTATTGCAATCAAAAATACATAAAGAACATTTAATTTTTATAATATATATATCTAATATTAATTAATTATCGTAAAGAAAGTGAGGAGCACTCCTGTAGAAAATTAAACAGCCCTTGCTGCCATTACTAATTTTCCTGTGTCAGTCTTTTAAAGCACTTCATTTTTGTTGCTCCTCAGTTTGAGGAGATGATTTTTTGTTATGGCAACACATCCTTTAATTGGCTGTGAGGGCTGCTTCATTTCAACTTTAATTTATCTATTGCCCTTATTCCCTCACTCAACCACAAAGAAAGGCTCCCTTCATCACTTGAAACTTCATCGAAGGGACATCAGGGGAGACAATGTGTTAATGTGGAATCAGACACCTCTTGTCAGGGAGACCCTCTCCCTCCTTCTTTTGTGTCTGGCTAGTCAACCTTGTCTTTGGGTGCATACATCACTTTGATGCATGGATCAGAGCTGCAGTGTCTGACAAAACTGTGTGCTTCTTTTAGCTTCTTGTAAAGCTCCAACCTCCCTCCTCTAACCATCCTTAACCTTATGCTTTCTCTCTGTGCGTCCATCTTTGCCATCCATCATTCCCCATACAATATGATGAAGTTTATTTCTTGGACCACAGCAAATGACCAGGTTGTTTATCAATATCAAGGTATTTTTTAATCATTTTACATAGTCAGAGAATCAATTCTAGTGTTTTATGGTGAGTGTTTCAGTGACTCACTTCAGGCTACTCCATAAGCAATGCTTTGTGCAGCTTGGTTTGATGTCACACTAGTTTAGGAAATAATGAAGTGATTAGTATGCCGCTCTGCATGTTGAGATGATACTTTGAGCATAGTTATTTTTAGTTTCACTTGCAGGTTCAGTGGATATGAATAGCTGAAATTCCTGAAATTCCATACAGCAGAGGTCCTCCTGAAAAGATGTTGTTTTGAAATGTTTTGCAGACAAAACTGGAAACTATTTGTATCATCTATAATTCATGTTGGGGCTTTTAGTGAATCAATAGGTAGTAGAACTAAACTGCTTCTCCCAACGAACTAGTTTTATTTAACAACTCACCTCTTCCCTGGTCTACATATCTGACAAATGAGCCTAGACTGATGAAAAAATGGTCAATAAATGGTAAATCCCATGTCTTTCTGCAATTAATCCTTCACCTGCTATGCAACAGCAGCAACATGTGAGGGTCCTGACAGCACTACATAAAGATTTGGCATCAACTGCTATGTATATTAATATTTCGAAGAAACCCATTCTGTGCTTTGTGTGAAGAAACAACACGTATCACAACACTGCTGAATTTAGTCCACTATATTTCCATGTCTCCTCCTGTTTGTAATGAGCTGTTTTGATGCGCTGAGGACAGGACAGGTGAGCTCTGCATCGTACAGCTCATTATCCAGGTATACAGGTAGTCAGGCAAAAATGTATGAGAGAGCAGGATAGCTTATTCGGCTCTGTCGTCATGGTAACTGCTACAACCACTAATGAGACCTTGGCATCTGTCACTATCCAAACTATTGTCGGTGACACCTTGCTTGTTTTTGTGTGCTGGCCTTTCCACTATCCATTGACATAATAGCCTGCTTAATCATAGCATAAGGGCGGGTTTCAGAGAAGCAACCACAGCGGGCAGGAGGCTATCTGAGTATAGGTCAGACACTTTAGAGTCTTTGCTTACATTAAACTTAAAAAAAAGCCTTGGTCACAAGGCTTATTCCACTGGGTAGGTAAAGGAAATACCTGCAGTATGATTTAGTCATATTACAAAAGAAAAAAAAAAAAAGATCAAACTAGTATTAACCGCCTAGGCTATAAATGTGTACAATGTTCTCGCTTAAGCAAAAGCTGAGTTCTTTTCATGGCTAGATGCACATTAAATGTGCCGCATCATTCCTAGTAATTCAATTTCACTTCACACATGGAAAATGGAGTAAGCTGTGAGGACGAGATGCATGATTTAATAAAACTCTACATGGGGAGAGAGATGAGAGAGAAGAAAGGGGGTAAAGTGTGAGGGGAAAAAAAAAAAAGAGTGGAGGTTAAAACAAAAAGATAAAAATATTACATTGAGAAAATAAAAATGGGTGAGACCCCTAAAGATAGCAGCTGTACAGAAGAAATAATAACAATTAAACTAAGCATAAAGCAATTGAATTCTTTGAGGATGGTAGCATCCTGGGTGCCACACTGCTTGTGCCAGTAAAAAAAAAAAAAAACAATTGTGAAAGGTGGACAGAGACCGGGATAAAGTGGCTTTTATTTGGTTGGCTAGACAGAGGCTTGATAAAGCTGTTTGCCCTGTCTCTATACATAAAGCTCAATGCTGTTGAGGTAACAGGTAGAAAAGAAAACAGAACTCCTACCTGTCCGATCTCGGATGGCGAGGTTGTTCCCTTTCTTTAGGATGATGTCCAGCTGGTACATGGCTGGACTAGGAGGTCGAGGCGAGTGTTCTGCATTACTGGGCCCCACAATGCTGATGCCCTGTAGAGAGAAGTTACATAAGTTATTCATATTACTCCCGTATTATAATTTTCATGAGGACAAAATGAGGGAAATGAAAAAAGATACAGTACGTACAGAAGCGAGACACATCTGTGTAGTAAAAAAAATAGAAAAGAAATGAACACAAATTTGACTATTTTAAATGGCTTAGCACTAGTTGACCAAACAATGTTTACATCCCACATCAACAAGCACATATGAGACTAATATGATGACCAATATTTTCATACATTTTTGAAGTCTGACTGATTATTCTCATATTAAAAGAAAAATGAATGTCAAACTTCTAGTAATGGCTTTTTGGGAGTTTATGGGTAGTTTATTTTGATTTGACGTCCAAAATGTAAGAGAAGAATGACGACGCTCTGAATAAAATCACATTTAGTTGAGAAAAAAAAAAAATCTTCGAACAGACTAAAAAGGGTAAACAGAGAAATTGCTCACGCTTTAGAAAATTAGTATTTGTACATGACATAATATATAATGCATGTGTACTGAAGTCTGATAACTGATCATGGCAAGCATGCAGCCTCCTTGGCACGCTTGAGTGTCAGGCTTTCTGAAGGGTTATCTTTGTGGCTTTGTATGTCTTGCTGTAGCCCCGAAGTCAGTGCTGTACTCCACGTTGACAGGGAACCCCCTCCGGCTCTAATCGTGGTTCCCCTTGGAGCTAAAGGCCCATTAACAAGACCCATGATGAACCATGCTATGTTGAGATGCACTAAAGCTTACTGTCTTTCTCCATCTCTTGCTCATCTTATTCTCCCGCCCTCATTTCTCCTCCCCGTTGGACAATTGGTGCGTGGGCACTCCTGTCATGTCTCCCCAGATATCGTACTCTGAGATGAGGCTAAGAATAACTATAAGAGCAGAAAAATGCTAGTGGGCCACTGGGAGACTACTAACAGACTACCAAGGCTAGCATAAGAGCAACTCCCACCAGAGAGGAGCAGAGCAGAGAGATCTCCGAACAGTTGAAAACAGGATAAGGATGTAAATGGAAAAAAGGAGAAAGAAGACCCACAAGGATCCTCCCTATTAACACTGTCATCAACATGCACACTTCCATAATAGGGCTGTCAGAGTATTTCCTCCAATTATTAACAACATCATTTCCCTCCAGAATAATGTCTGATTGTCCTAAAACATAAACTGACCCTGTAGACTGTTTTAGCAAGTGTGACCTATTTTAATGGTTTCAAAGTCCCTGTAATAATAGAGAAGGATGTATTTCTGTGTATTATGGCGCTATCAACTTTCAAACAGTGTATATTACCAACAAGGTTTCTATGTTACATGCTAAAATAGCACAAAACTGTGCTTTTAACACCGTTAAGGGGCTACCATGCATTGAGGCTGCAGGTTAATAATGGTGACTATAATTACACTGCGGTCCTTGTAGTGTCACTGTATTATAGAAAAGATCTTGTGCTGTCCTCAGAGATGATCAATGTAATTATCTGCAATGAATATCACTCTTCACTATCTTTTTCTATGCATTAGGAAATGAGACCGCTAAATATGCCACTTGAGAAAAACCACTATAAATGAGCTAGCGGAGTTTCTAGGAGACATTTGTATCATATTATGTGGAACAGGAACATAAAATGAAGTACACAAAATATTTTACTAGGAAGCTACTTATGTTCTTAAAATAACTATAAATGACGGCAATTCAGACAGAGGTTTTTCAGCCCTGGCAGCCCACTGACACAAGAGTGTAATTATAACTGTCACCACATAGTGCAAGTGCAATAATTATCTAATAAAATCCATATATCTGAGATTGTGGATATCAAAATATTAACAGTATGTGAAGAGCATGGCATGGTGTGGACTACACACAGCAGAACTTGAAATGACAGCAGCCAGGCAAGAAATGTGGTGCTGTGTAAAGCCTGGAAGCCCCAAATCTCCATGGAAAAGTCAACCCCAACCCCAACACAATCTTAGCTTCACAGCACCTGCTGTCAAACAGGCAAACAAACAGAGAAAGCAAGAAAGAGTCAATCTTCCTGGGAAAAGTCAGAACTGAAATAAATCGAAAGACCAAAATGTAATCTATTAGGTAACAGGTGGACCAGCTCACCAAATATCTGAGGAAATCTAAGGTGAACATTCAGGGACAGAGAGTTAAAGCTGTGTGATTGGATAGGATAAACCTGGGGTCAAAAGTGCATGTAAGTCACTGTAATTGAGCTCTGTATATTTGTGTGGATACAACCAGTAGGATTGGACAACAATTACAGGGGTCTGACCATGTAACATTAAGCCCTCTCGTCTATGAACACGACTAACAAACAGTGACACAAAGACAGAGCCACACAACGTTGAGCTGGGTCACATCATAACACACAGCCATTAAGAAAAAGATGGAAATCTCAGGACACAGTGTGTCCACAGAAAATATCTGTGTACATGTTTTTTTTTTTTGCTTCTCTATTGCAAATGTATAAAACCCCTCAGTTTATTTGTATTTTTCAGAGTGTCTCTATTGCCATACAGTACCACTAACAGACACAGACACACACGTTAAAAGTACATACACAGAAAGATGCCCACAAAAATAATAGGGAGCACAGGATTTGAAATGGATTTGCAGATAGCGTAGGCTGTTCGGGTGAGCGACAGTATACATGATAGGATCAATGGAGTCTTTGCTAAAACAAGCAACCCGATAAAATCAGGACCAACATGCCAAGTTACAACGGTACAGAAAGAGCAAAACAAGCAGTTAAAGACTAGTTTTGCTCTGTGTTTCATGTCCAAGCTTGTGACCAATGAAAGTGACATTTGCACTGCTCTAAAGAGTGTGTTGATCTTGACTGAGCAGAACAGCTGGAGTCTTGAACACTGAAACCAACGGAGAAAAAAAAAAATCTCATTATAAACACTCCTTATCCATTTAAAAGATCCGCTTTTGCCAAAGATAGGTTGGGTTAAAGCTGAAATTGCCTCTGAAGTACAAACACACACTAGAGGAGATTCTTACAAAAAAAGCTGATTTTCTGCTATCTTCCATGTGTCAAGGAGTCATAAACATTCATGACATTTAAATTACAAAATGTTTACACAGTATTGTGGATTCAATAGAAAAGCAAATATACCCGAAATAACAAATATATAGTTTATTGGTCCATTCTTTATATTTTTTTTAAGGAAACCGATGAGAAAATGATATATAAAACTCTATTTTGGATGAAATGTCTATTATTATTTGTTACAATTCTCAGGCACAAGAGAATAAAAAAGAAAACAAGTACAGTAAATAAGTATAAACACTCACACAACATAAAAGACACACAGGCACATGGCCCTGGTTCATCCTTTGGGACAGACTCGGCACAATGAGGGCTGAGTAACGAGACGCGTGCTCCGAAGACACACACCACATGCACTTTCACAGTGACAGAAATGGAGAAGAAAGGAAGAGAGCAAGGAAAGGAAAGGCAGCCAAGATCCATCTCACTCCACCTGCTCTGTGTTTCATGATTCCTTGAAGCTGGCAGAGAAACTAAACAATAGCTACCACGTCCCAATTTTCAGCCTCTCTCCCAGTCAGTAATAAACAATCTGGAAGAGGGAGACCATGCAGATCACAAGACAGTCTATTTGGCCACAATTTCTTTGCAATGCAAGTGTCCTGGTGTGACACATGACATACACAAAAATATACAAGATTCTACTCAAGGTTTCTGAGCACAAATACAATTTTGTAGATTTGTTTTCACCCAATAACCAGGTGATATATAATTTACATAAATGAATTCTAAACGTACTGAAAGAAAAGAAAGGGCTAATGAAGACCCAAAACTTTAGATCCTGGCCTATTGTTAGCCAGACGTTTTGTGCATGTGTGGTTGGCTGTGTGTGTGTGTGTGTGTGTGTGTGTGTGTGTGTGTCTGCATGAAGAAAAAAACATCCAGCAGCAGAATGTTAATACAGGAAAGAAACAGAAAAGATTTCCATTACAACTCTATGTGGCACTGACCCGGTGAGATTCAACTATCAGAGCACTTTACATTTACATTAAATAATCCCCGGGGAACCAGACTGGAGAGTGCTCTGGGTATTTGGATACAGCATTTCACAGAAAACCCTTCAGACTGAATCCCAACGGAATCAATTCAAATATCAATCAATACCAATTTCCTTTTCCATTAACTAAATACTACTTTACAAACGAGACAAATGGGGGGGGGGGGTCAGAATTACATTGCAAATATTGAAGGCATCCTTCCATCGTCTCCAGAGGGTGGTTTGCATATATATGTTCAGTGTATGCACAAAGAGTATGTATGACCTGTACGTGTGTGTATGTGTGCATGTATGTATGTTTGGTGTGTGTGCTCCCTTTTTCTTCATGTTTGTGTGTGTGAATGTATAATCTTATCAGCACTGAATCACAGAGAGGGGAGCTGACTGTTCATCAATAAATAAGACAGATGATGAATTGTGCTTCTGAAATGAGAGTGTTCAATAGGATATTCCACACCAACAAACTCCAGCCAGACACAATGCACATTATCTGCTGCCTACATTCCTGGAGGGCACAAGAGGGTTAAGCAGCAGATTATGTGGATATACTGCACTGGGCTTCAGGTTCAGCTCTGAGGCATGTTATGAAGCCATAAAAACCACTTAGTCAAAACAGGCACACTTTCATTGACTGCCTTGAACCTTAATTAAAATTCCACTGTGCAACAAAACTCACAAAGATACACACACACACACAATGCCACAATCAGTAACACTTGATCACTTGATCAGAGCAATAGTTTTTTAGTACAAAGTGAGACTAGATATAACAAAAAACTCAGGTTTGGTGTTGAGGTAATGAATTTTATAGCCCTGATCACTTTTCACTCACTTTTTTTTTTTTTTTTTTTTTTTAAATCGCAAATTGAAACTGAATTGATGAACTTTTTACCAAGAACACTTGTTCTACAGGAGAACATAAGTTCTGGCTTTTTCAGTCA